GATGGTGTGAGAGACAACATACGGTCGGTACCCGACCTTGTCGGTGCAGCCGCCTGAGCTGCAGCCTTCGCTTGTACACATGGTGGTGTACACGGAGAGGCAGAGTGAAAGCATGATTTGCGATTTGATTTTGTTCAACGTTGCAAAATCCACGTCACTCAAAACCCACGCGTCACTCCGACTCCGAAAATTCTGCCGCGGTCACCCGCGGCCGCCGACTCCCTTCCTTCTCTAACACATCCAGCAAATCCTCTGCAGCTTCTGGTTCCAACACTCTTTTTCTGCTTAAGTTCTCGGCCAGTTTGCGTGCGTGGGAGATAGGCTTTGCTTCCGTTGCCTCCTTTAGGACCTTCTTGCCGGCGCCACGAATTCGATCACCGGTTGCATCGGCGCACACGATATCTCTAGACTCCGCTGATTTCCACCCCCCAACACGAACAACATCCATCTCAGCCATGTCCGTTTTTTTTTTCGCATGAGTCGTACTTCGAAAAGAAGGCTTCGATCAACTGCTGAGGATTGGGAACGAAGTAGAATCGGTGACATACCAACTGGTATAGGAGGGGGAAATCGAACAGACGCGCCAGTGCTGACGTACCCTTCGGTGCACTCTCGTCAATCTCCTTGTCACCCCACCCAGAATTCGCATACTGCTCGGGTTCACTCCTCACAGAAAGATCCCCATCAACACCGGAAAACTCTCCAAACGTTAACTCATCTTTCCTTCGTGCCTCGGTGGTTCCCCCCAAATACTTCGCGAGCTACGTTCGGTGCTCTCTCTCCCTCTCCGTGCGTGGCTCTCCCTCGAAAAGACGTGGCCACGCTACATGGAGGAAAGCACGCGCAAACTCCGGCCCCAACGGCTGCTCTACAGCCCCCCCCCCATTGTTCCTGTCCGAGAGTAAAACGAGGGGCATCCAATCCGCGCCATGCTCAAAGGTAGCTCCTGATGCCGCTGCATCCACTTGATCCATCGCTTCTTGACCTCGGCAAAAAAAAAACTGTCCTCGCTGAAGTTCAACATGAAAAGTTTCGCCTGCAGCATCGGAACAAAGCGATTGGCCACCAGTTCAAGCAGCAAAGGAATTAGTTTTATCATAGCATGACCATCGCAGCAGCAGCAGCAGCAGCAGTAGCCACCAGCACCAGCCGATACAAGCAGAGAGAGGTAGCAGCACGACGCTGAAAAACATGGCGGAAGGGAGCGAGCATGGAAGAACAAAATCGTGATGACGGCCGTTCGTACAGCAGCATTTCTGCTGTGCAGCGGTTGCCTTCTAGCCACAACCCCGCAATAATCCAAACTGCAATACTCAGTCCCGCCACCACTTGCCATTGGGTCGCTCAGGGTAGTTCGAACGCGGTCTAGCAGCGCCGCGAAGTACGTCTGGGGATCCTTGCGGATCGTCTCCAACTCTTGGAGCAGCAGGCGAGAGAAGTCAGCCACCTCCACCGAACGCATCCCAGGAAACAGCCGCCGACCGTGATAGATATACTTGTAGCAATGCCAAGTGGTTGTACGATTGTGTGGTACGTGGAATGTATTTCCAGGATGTGCAAGGTACCCCTGTTGTATACTGCGTCGCCCCCTCATGGTGGTGCGTGCACGCGTGCGTTCAGT